GACAGCTTTGTGGAAGCAGCCACTTAAAGGCCTGAGCTAGGGCCAGGCCCCCTATTTTATTATTCTTTAAATTTATTTTTTATTTATTTAGTACAGGGTCTTCAGGGTCTCACTACATAGATCGGACTCATAGTAATGTTGTTTTTAGCCTCCCAAGCACAGGCTTACAGGCTTGCACCACCACCACACCCAGTCTCAATCCCCATCTCAGGGAACCACAGGGGCAGGGCCTGGCACGAAGGCTAGGGATGGAACACAGGGCCGCTGCACTCTGCCTAGGAAGGCGCTTTAGTCCACTGAAGCTATCTGGTCGGCCTTATTATTTGCCCTAAAGTTCAAGTATTCAAGCCTTAAAGCTAATCATATCTTCAGCCTATAGATCTGCTAGAAATTCTATGCAATATATGTTACTGCTAATCAAGATTAAACTCTTTCTGAACCCAACTCTTCCTTTGCTAGCAATGTAGTTATACAAGACATGATAAAAAAAAAGACTCCACTCAAATCAGAGAAAAAATTGATTCAAGTTCGCTGCCAGTACATCATCAAAGAGTGGCACATAACTGATAGCCCTAAATCTTAAGAAACATTTATTAATGCCATCCATATCTCAAATTCTTACTAGAAAACAATATAGATGTGAATCAACACCTTTCAAACTAAACAATCCCGGCTGGGGCTGGCCAAATAGTTCTGCGGATCAAAGGCGCCTGGGGGTGGGAAGGAGACCAATGACCCTTGGTGCTTGCCTGGAATCCCAGCTCTTGGGAGGCTGTAAACAGGCAGACACTATGAGTCTGACTTAGTAGTGAGACCCTAAACACCCTGTAGACCCTTCTCTAAAAATACAAAAATAAATAAAATAAAAACCTAAGCAATCCAAATTAAAAATTAAATAAATTATACATATCAACTAAAATAAAGGTAATTCCTTTCCTTAGTAAATTTAAATAGCTATGGTTGGTTTAAACTTGACTCTTTTTTTTTTTTTTTTTTTTGTGGAACTGGGGATTGAACTCAGACCCTTGCGCTTGCCAGGGAAACACTTTATTCCACTGAGCCATCTCCCCGGCCCCCTAAACTTGACTCCCTTAATTCTGTTAAAAATTACCAAGGGAAGAGAGAGAAAAGAATGAAAGAAAAGGAAACGAGGATATCACATGTCTTAATCCAGGAGTTAACAATATAAAACAGTAAGAGTATCACTTGTAGCACATCAATTTCAATCTGGCATTAAAGGTATACAAATCCATTAGCAAAAATCTGTCTGAAAATAAATAAAATAAATAAAATCTCAGTCTGATAATAAAAATTATATTCAATCCGATTTTAGTCTATTCTGAAAGAAATATTAACACTTAAAATGGCCTACAACCCCAATGGATGTTCGTTATCCTGTTAAGAAATGCTACTGAAGATGGAAACCTCACAACCCCCAATTTGGGTCTGTATCTGCAAAATCGTGTTTAACAGGTAAATAAAATTTACACAGACGGGGGCTGGGGAGATGGCTCAGTGGAATAAGCGCTTCCCTGGCAAGCACAAGGGTTTGAGTTCAATCCCGGGTTCCGCCAAAAAATGAAAATAAATAAATAAAAAATTTACACAGACAAAGATTTTACCATTTTCTAATTTCCAAATCATTAATAAACCTGTTTGGGAATGTGAACCCTAAATATTACTTTCTTAATGGCTCCTATTTAGACTCATAGCAGAAAACACAAGCCCCACCTTCCCGTCAGCCTAATCTTTTAAACGCATTCCTAGGTAGGTAAAACAAATCCGCAGTGGATGTGGCGACGTGATTCTCCATAGGACAGGCCTAACTCGGCTTCCATCCGCCCACCCGCTCCTTCCTTCCTCCACTCTACATTTTAGGTGGAGAAAAAAGGCGCTGCCACCGCCCTGGGTCTGTTTCCGCAGACTCCTGGACCTGGGGGCGCTCCGCCCAGCACTTCAGACAACCGAAAGGCCACAGTCCAGCGCGCAGGCCCGCGCCCCCACACGGAAGTCTGGCCGCGACCTGCTCGCATGGGCACCCCGTCCGGTGCCACGGAGCCTCAAAACCGTTGCAAGGATCACAGCCACAGAGGCCCGCCGGCTGGAGCCGGTCTCGCACCCTGCAAGCCCAGGAAGGTTGTAAACGGAGCGCGGAAAACCGAACACCCTGCCCACAGTCCCAGGATTCCCACGCAGGCCCGCCCACCGGACACCCGCCACAGGCCCGTCCCCATCCCCCACCCGGAGCCACTGAGGGGGAGGGGCAGGGCTGGGAGAATCCACTTCCCCTCTCAGGGCGCGCGTTCCCCCAAAAGCGCCGGAACGGAAGGTCCTTTCTTCCCATCCGAAAGCCCAAAGCCCCACGCGCTGCAAGACCGCGGGCGCCGGGGCGGTGGGGAGTCACACCTTGCGCTTGCGGGCCTCCGTCGTGCCGCTCCACACGAAGCACTGGTAAATGGCTCGCAGGTTCTGCTTCCAGTTGTCCACCTTGAAGCTGCCGAGGTGCGAGCAGCCCGGCGGCGCCACCGCCAGCTCGGCGTCCATGGCCTCGCCCTCCGACTCGGGCCGCGAGACCATGGTGGGCAAGGCCCGACCACGCGCGGGGGCTGGCGGCGAAGGGGGCGAGGAGGACGCCAGCGCGGCGGAACGGCTCGAGCGTGTACCCGGCAGGCCGAGGCACGGGTGCCGGGAACAAAGCGCGGCGGTCCGGGTGCGGACGGACAAAGCGCTGCGTGAGCGCCGAGAAAATGCGGCGGCCAAGCAGGCACCGCCCCCGAGCTGCGGCCACCGCGGGCGGCCAGCGTTTCTGTCTCCCGGTTCGCAGAGGGCGGCGTGGGCGGGGTAACGTGGGCGGAGATTACGTCACCCTGGCCCGTGGGCGCTGCGCAACGCGCAGGTGCTGGCTGGCGTCTAGCCCCGCCCCTTGCCCCGCCTTCGCGCTTCTTCGCTCGCCCGAAGCTCCCTGGAGACTTGGGCTGTGGGGCTGGGGAGCCAACAAGACCCGCCCCTGCACCTTGCCGTTGGTTCTGGGCCAGCCTGAAGCAGGTCGCGCCGCTGTCATAGGCTGATTGTACAGTCCGTCGGATTCAGAAGCGTCCTCTGGGATGCTGACGCCTGGACGTTCCCAGTCTCTCACCAAGCACTAGGGAGGTAGAGACTTGCTAAGGATTGGGTAAGGTGGAGTGTCAGTCAAGGAGCAAAACTGGTTTACACCGGCTGATCTCTGCCGCAAAGAGGCGGGGCCGTGGGCGGGGACGGTGCCAGAGCTGAACTTTCTCCTACTCGGGTTCAGGGCTTTTCTTGACCACGGTCAGTTCCTTTAGCAGCAGGAGCTCCTTATGTGGGGACGTTCTGCAAGGCTCTGCAACTGCCACAGCTCTAGATTGCAGTAGCCAGTTAGTATCTGCTTGATGTTTCTCCAGCGACACCGGCTGCGGTTCCTCCCCACCGGAATCCGCGTCCTGGTGAATGAAGGTCCAACTCAATGCTTTCTGAATCAGACGGACTGTACAATCAGCCTGTGACAGCGGCGCGACCTGCTTCAGGCTGGCCCAGAACCAATGCTATCTAGTTTAAAAGGGGTGCAAACCAAATACCTAATCTTAAATTTTTTGTAGACATTTTTTTTTAAACCTGAGAAAGTAAGCCAACGGATGAAATTAATTTTAATAACACAGCTTAGGTAACCCATTGTAGCAAGAGTACCATTTCAACACGTAAGCGGTATTGTAAAATTGTCACTAAAATATTTCACAAGCTTCTGAAATCTAGTATATAAAAGCACATCCAATTTGCAGTGGCCACATTTCAAGTACTACTGTGTTGGACATCACTCCCCAGATTCAATCCCCAATACAAAAAAAAAAAATATATATATATATATACATATATATATATGTATATATATATGATATGTGTGTGTCACAAGTAAATAAAACATTACAAAAATAAAAGTACAGGTAATATCACGTGTGGGAAAATAATACTATGTGTTGGCATAGACTAAAAATCGGGTAAAAGTCTGGGGGAAAAAAAACAGCCTAGCGATAACATTTCTGGTTCATTTCTGGTAAGGGAGAAGTAAACTTGACTAATTCTATAAAAGTTAAGATAATTCATTATAATCAGAACTTTTGGGGGGGTGTAGGGAGTATCAGGAACTGAACTCAGGGCCTTGCCAGGCAGACCCTGTGCCACTGAGCTATATTCCTGACCCAAAATTATATTTTATGCTGAAAAAGTCACTAACACTCTTAGGAAATAACACACTTGCATGATGAGTGAGCACAGAGAAACTAAGTAAGACCCAGAGAAAGAAAATGATCAAATTCACACTGTCCTTCAACATCACAACCAAAAGTTTCATTCGTGCACTTACTCCTCTATGTAAAAATCCGGTTGGGCTACTAAATTAGTGTTTGTGCCACCGTGCACAATTTCTGTAACTTTAGGCAGAAGGTCCTATTTCTCAGCCCATTTATTTGTTAAAATTGGAGCAGTAGTAGATCAAAGATTACATTAAAGGCTTGTGGCAAGAAATAATCCATGCAAAGCTTTTTGCTGGGCATAGCACACATGCCTGTAATTCCAGCACCCAAGAGACTGACCCAGGAGGATCGCTGTAGGTTCAAGGCAAACCTGAGCTACATAGTGACTTCAAGTCCGTGCCGGGGAGGGGGCTCAGTAGAATAAGTGCTTCCTTGGCAAGTGCAAGGGCCTGAGTTCAATCCCCAGTTCTGGAAGGAAAAAAAAAAAAAGTCCAGTTTGAACTCCATAGCAAAACCCTGTCTCAAAAATCCAAAACCCAAAACCCAAACCAAAGCAAAACAAAAAGAGATCTTCCCTTGAATACATGTTGTTTATTTTTTTGTGTGTGTAAATGAGAGTTTATTGAGGAAGACACAAAGTCAAGCTTCCCACAGCCCCTGCCCACCAAGACTGCATCCCTGTAAGAACAGAAGAATGCCAGGACTCCAAGGGCAGCACTGACCCTTCCTGTCTCTCCCCAGAGTCCCAGTACAGAGTACGTGATACACTCACGGAACAGGCTTGGGTGAGGACAGACACTCAGGGAATCTCTGACCAGCGAAGTTACTGATGTGTGTTTGCTACCCTCGCCCTTTACATGGTACTGGCTCACAGGACAGAGACTCTCTTGAGCAGGAGCGGGATGCAAGGCCCTACTCCCCTCATCTGGCCAGGCTTGAAAGGTACCTGAAGGAAGCTCTAGTGGAGGTGACGAGCTGCCTCTTCAGGAAAGAGGTCCTCCTACGTGAAGCAGAGTCCTGCCCTAGCTCTGCTCAGGCTGCCTCTGGAGGCGTCCTGCCCAAAGGTGGGGAGCCATCCTGGAGAACAGCAGCTGTTGTCCATTGCCGGTAGTGAGGCTGAGAGGAGCCCCGGTCTCAGGGGCTGAGTGCCTGTTGTTTATTAAGACCTCAAAAAACATTAGCAGTTATTGAGCTGCTAGTTGCGGGAATCAAGATGATTAAGAGAACTTCACACTTCAAAAATCCCACAATGTAATGGGACTAGCAGCAGCATTGCCTACATAGCCAGGTGTTCCTAGTTCATTTGGTATTGTTGTAACAGTGTCTTAGTTATTTTTCTCAATGCTGAGATAAAATAACCCAACACTCGAAAGAGGAAAGAAGTGCTTGGGAAGCTGGAAACAGGAGAATCACTTTGAGAAGGATCTACATAGTGAGACTCTGTAGACCCAGTAGACTGCTAAATAAAAAAAAAAAAAAGAGGAAAGATATTTCAGTCCCTGTTTGGCTTGCTCCAAGGCGGCATAGCATGGCACAGGGGAAATGCAGAGGCGGAAATACTCCAAGGCGGTTCAGGCCAAGCAGAAGGCAGCAAGCAGAAGTCTGCCTTTCTCTTTTATCCCTCGCAGGATACCTGCCTTTTGGAGGAAGAAAAGAAAGAAAGACGAGGAGGGGTACCATCTATACCCAGGGGGGCATTATCCACACTCATAACTATGCTAGTAGCTCAGTGGATTAAAGTGCCTGCAAGCAGGCGGAGAGGCCGGTTCCATCCCCGGGCCTGCGGTGCCGGCCCCGCCCCCACCCCCAGGGCTCACGGAGAAGGCAATTGAGAATGGGTGTGGTGGTGCGAGGCTGTAATCCCCCCAGCTCTTGTGAGGCTGTAAACAGGCAGATCACTACGAGTCGGATCTAGTAGTGAGATCCTGAACACCCTGTAGACCCTTCCCTAAAATACAAACAAACAAAAAGAACTATGCTAAATTAATCACTGGACTGATTTAGTGAACACACACCCTTAATCCCAGCACTGCACCCTTCATGCTAGCATTCCAAACCCTAGGTGCATGCGTTTCAGAAAAGCCTACTTCTAACTGTATAAAGCTTTGGGAGGACATCTAGATCCAAGGCATTGCAAGTTACAGGGCAACCTATAAAGAACAGATATTTATTTCTTTCTCTGGAGGGTAGAAAGTCCAAGGCCAAGGTGCTGGTATCTAGTGTGGTTCTTCTTCCTGGATTATCTCACGACAGAAGGTGGAAGGACAATAAAAGAGAGAAAAAGATGGGAGGGCAGATGGGGAGGGAAGAGAGAGTGGGAGATGGGAGGAAAGAAGAGGTGGGGGGAGAAAAGAAGGAAGAGGGGGAGGACAATGGAGGAGAAAGAAGAAGACTAAGTAAAAGAAGGTAAAATGTGTATTGTATTAGATACCCACTCCGAGAGAGCTAATTTACTAGTATGATATTATTAATCCATACATGAGAGCAGAGTCTTTATAACCTATTCACTTCTTTGTTTTGTTTTGAGTACAAGGAATTAAACTCAGCACCTCACACTTGCCAGACAGGCACTCTGTGCTGAGCTATATCTGCAGGCCCAACCTATTCACTTCTTAAATGTCCCACTTCTCAACACTGCTTTATTGGAGAATTAAACTTCTTACATTCTAACACAAGACTATAGGTATAGTATTCAAGCTATAGTAGCACACAATGATAGTAATATGAAATTACATATTACTACAAGAAATCCAGAAAATATCCAGGATAACAGAACATGTAGGTAATGTGAAAAGAGTCCAAGATAACTTTAATCCTAACACTATCCACAGGGTTACAGTGGAAAAGCTCTAGAAATTTTTTCTTTTTTTTAGAACCGGGGATTGAACTCAGGCCCTTGAGCTTGCCAGGGAAGCACTTATTCCACTGAGCCATCTCCCCGGCCCCTAGAAATTTTTAAAAAAATGCTTTACCTATGTATAGACTGATGGGTAGAAGTTAGCCGAATTTTTTAAATAAGAGACAAAGTGAAGGATTTTCTTAAAAAGCATTTCCCACCATCCACTGAATTAATATAGCTTAAAATTGTTATTCTCTGGAGCTGGGGAGATGGCTTAGTAGAATAAGTGCTTTCCTAACAAGTGCAATGGGCTGAGTTCAATCCCTGGTTCCGCAAAAAAA